TAATAATATAACAAAATTAAAAATATATGTACACAAAGAAATAAAGTATTTTTGCAATAATTAATACAAAACAAAAGAAGAAACATGAAACACATTAGAATGGTATCCTGCAGGAAGGAATAGAACAGAAGTGAGGTATGGAGATAGAAGAGAAAAAAATAAATAATGACAGCCTATCATGTGTCGATGATAATGTGCCATTACTTAACTATACCTTTGTACCTAAGAATCCCTTATCCTGCAAGTACTTGTTTAACTGAAACTTCAACGTCCACTTTCCAAACATAGTTGGTCCTGTTATACATGCACCTCTGCCTTACCTTTCTTCCTTTTAAAAGTTCTATTGCATTCCTGCTCATTTACTTCAGTAAAGGGAGAATTTCTTAAAATAACAGCAACAATGCTAGCTAAAAACCATAAAGAACATAGATTTTAAACTTTCCTAATTATAAAATTTAATTGTTTAAAGAATATGTACACTTTTTAACTTAGGCAGTTTTTTTTTTTTTTTTTACATTGAGGAGGAAATCTGGAGTTAATTAGGACTAAAGGAATGCAGGCTCCAGATTTATTCTGACATTCTTCAAGAATTGATTGCCTACCATTACTGCATATTTTGATAAAAGAATCTATACAATTCTGATCAAAAGGGGTAAAAATGGTGACTAGGATCTTGAATTCTCCTGGAATCCAGACTTTCTGGAGCCATTGAGGCTAGATTACCCCCTGAAAATATTACTCTGAGAAAATCTTTAAATTTCAAAACAAAACTATTCATTGAAGTCATCTTTAGGCCAAACAATAGCTTAACTTAATTAGAATGCCTTGAGCACAGTGCCCTTTTAAAGAATTATCTATAATTGATCAAATGACAACAGCAACTCAAAATGTTAGATGAGAGGTGTAGGGGAGCTGTGAGTTAGGTTAATGTTGGTGAAAATATCTTGAAAGAGGCATAGAGAAAGATGGTGCAACTTTAAGAATGTAACTGGTGTCACTAAGTTATACATGCGGAAGTTGAAGTGGTGTGTGTTTTATAATGTATATCTTCACAAAATATAAAATAAATAATAAAATGTAAAATAATTGATTGCAAATGCGATTTTTCTCAAAATATAGAGACCACTTCAATATAAAAGAGTGAAAGGATGCATATTGATCTGTAAACATTGATTATTAATTAATTAAACTACAAAATGGAAAAAAATGCATGATTCAATTTTAACTTAAAATTTAAATTAAAAACACTATCTAAGATATTATAGTAAATAATACATTAGAAGTTGAATATGTATATAGATAAGGAGCTGATGGTGACATGGAATAAGGAAAATTGATTTGAGAAGGAAAAGAAATGTTTGGGAAAGTAAAGATTCTAACTAAAACAAATCAACACCCTATCTTTTCTTCCCCTTTTAAATAACCCCATGCTCTTGTATTTCCTTGTCAGTTCACTTGAACTTAGTTTTTGAGTGAGTGTTCATGAGCATCCTGAGTTTACTCTTTTCCCCTTTGGTGACAGTCCTGTATTTTAGCTTTAAAAATTACTAGAATTTAATCTGAATCTAGGCTTTTTGAGTCAGAATGGACTTGATGGCAGTGGGTTTTGCTAGATAAAACAAAGAATTAAGGTTACCCTTCTTTTTCTTATTAAGAAAAAAATAAAATAAAACCTCACTGTTGTGAGTCAGTTCCGACTCATTGCAACCTCTCCTTGGTTTCCAAGGTGGTTATCTCTACAGAAATAGATTGCCTAGTCTTCCTTCCAAGGAGTGCCTGGTGGGTTTCAACCACTAGCCTTCTGATTAGCAGTCAAATGCCTTAGGCACTATGCCACCAGAGCTCCTAAATACTTAAAATCTTAAAATGAGGCCTTACAAAAAAACAACAAAACAAAAAATATGTGTTCTGGTATGGTTAAGAACCTCTGGTGGTATGGTGTTTAAAACATTGGGCTGCTAACCAAAAGGTCAGTGGTTTGAACACACCCGCCCACTCCACAGAAGAAAGATGAAGCAGTCTGTGTCCATAAAGATTTATAGCCTTGGAAACCCTATGGAGCAGTTTTACTGTGTCCTAATGTGTCGCTTTGAATCAGAATCGACTAGATGGCAGTGAATTCTGATCTGCTTAGGCTTTTGCACTTGGCCAGTAATATGGTAGACTGGGAAGAGCCATGGGCTAGGAGACCTTGGCCACAGTTCTCTCACTTTAAATGAGATCGTTGAGTTAGAGTGATTCATTGCAATCACCCATTTGATAAACAAGCAGATTCCTTTCCTACATTCTCTTTTCCCCACCTGCCTCATCTCATCAGAGATATATTCCTAGGAGTAGGTCCCAGGAATGTGCAAGATGATTCTGATGCAAGTTATCTGAAGATCGTGTTTTGAGAAATAATGGAAATGGTCCATAAAATCCACTTGCATTGTTCTATGATTAAAAGTAATTTTATCTCACTTACCAAATTCTCACTCATCTCTCGTAATTCCTTAAATTGATATTCGTTGTTCTGTCCAGAATTGCTACTTACTTGTGGATCTGAAATTTTAAAGGTGCTATGATAATACTCCATTTTCAGGTCTATGATAAAAGGAAAAGTATGAAATTAGTAGTTTGGGCATAGATTTCAGAATCTAAGGTCCAAGTGTAACGGGGCTAATTATAAAATCTTAAATACATCACAGAGATATTTTTTAACTGAATTTCATAAAAAAAAAATAGAATGAAAATAATGATTAATGTTTTGTTTTAATGATTTTATATGACATTGAGTGCCTACCACATGCCAAGCTCTGTTCTGGGCATTTGACATGTATTAACTCATTTGATCCTCACACCATCTCTCTAAGGTTAGCATTATCTCCAGTTTGCAGATGAGGAAAATGAAGTACAATGGTGATAAGTCATTTGATCTTTGGTATACAACCAGTAAGCAGCCTACTCAAATTTTAAACCCAGGGACATGTCTAGAGCCTGGCTACTTAATTACTACATTGCCCTCTGCTGAGGTGAAACATATATACTACCTTATAAAGTACTAGAAGTAGAGATAAATGAATGGCCTTGCACAATTGGATTTGTAATGGGAAAGCCAGGCAGCCAAGAAAGGTGCAAAAAGAAAAGGCTGATTTCCCCAGCTAGCTGAGTTTAAAGGTGAGAACAGTGTTTAAAATATTTAAGTTAATCAAGTCCCTGCTATACTATCAGGAAAGTTAAGGAAACAGAAAATATTGGAGACTGCTGAGGAACTTGGCTGTTTTAAAAGCCCAGAAAAGGAACAACAACAACAATAACAATGAAAATAAACCAAATCCTTCAGTGGTGAGTTGATTCCGACTTGTAGGGACCCTGCAGGACAGTGTAGAACTTCCCTCTAGGGTTTCCAAGGCTGTAAATATGTACAGAAGCAGACTGCCACATTTTTCTTCTGCTGGTGAGTTCGAACCACCAACATTTTGGTTGGCAGCCAAGCACTTTAACCACTGTGGCATCAGAAGTAGCAACATAGGAGGGAGCAGTCATTAAACAGCTTCTCTTCTCAAGAACTCTGGTTTGGGGAGGTCACAATGAATTTCATGGCTATGGACCTAGGAAAGAAAGAGGACTCTGTAGACACTAAATCTCCTAAGCTAGATATCTCTGAATCACGTGTGTGTGCGTGTGTGTGTGTGTGTGTGTTTTAGTCCCTCTGATTACTTATCTATCTACCTTAACATTATCCATCTTAAAACCAAACCCACTGCCACTGAGTCGATTCTGACTCATAGTGACCCTCATAGGGTTTCCAAGGTTGAAAATCTTTACGGAAGCAAATTGCCTTGTCTGTCTTCTGCAGAGTGGCTGGTGGGTTTGAAAAACTGACCTTTTGGTTAGCAGCCCAATGCCTTAACCACAGTGCCACCAGAGCTCCTATCTATTATAAGAGTATCTATTATATTGTTGTCAAGGGTCATAGTATAGGGGTTTCTGTACAATCCAGTGAACTAACTGAGAATATTTTGCCATTTGTATAAAGAAATCACAGGGTTGTCATATGAGGCCAGGACTATTGAAGTTCTAGTAAAGTATTCATTCCCCCATCAAGTCTGTGGAGCACAACAATGGATAAAATCATTCAACTTATTAGCCTGATCTGGTGGTTTTAATCACGTACATCCATGGGAGTGTAACATTTATTGAGATTTATCAAAAATGTAAATGCTTTGTACTCTGTGCAGAGAGAGAGAGAGAGTTGTGGTATAAGAGAATTCTGAAATGTATTATTTGTATTGTATTAGGCTATAAAATAGAATCTCTGAGTATTGCTTTGGAGACAGTAAAATTTTTCTCTAAAAATAAGTAGTACTTAACAGTTTATCAATACTTTTGAAATTCATTATTTATTAGACAAGTAATTTTACTGCCATAGAACTGTTGGACAAAAAAAAAAAAAAAAAAAATGATGGCCCTAAAGTAAAAGAGCTAATTTTAACAACTTATTTAATAAATAATTTATCATATTTTTTACTTGAATATATAGTGAATGGTTCAATTATTTTTATAATTACTATGTAATTTTAGATAATTGCTGTTTTAAAATCTTTTATGGAGACTCTCAAAAGAATACTAGGCTGTGAGCTCCATAGAGATAGATTTGTCTAGTTTGTTTAATGATGTATCAAGAATAACCAGAAAAGTACCCAGTATGTAGTGTTATTGTTGTTAAGTGCTGTCGAGTGGGCTCCAACTCATAAAGACCCTGTGTACAACAGGACAAAACACTGCCTGGTCCTGTGCGAGGCTTACAATCCTTCCATATCTGAGCCCATTGTTACAGCCACTGTGTCAATCCATCTTGTTGAGGGTCTTCCTCTTTTTTGTTGACCCTCCACTTTAACAAACATGATATCCTTCTCCAGGGAATGGTCCCTTCTGACAACATGACCAAAGCAAGTGAGACGAAGTCTGGCCATTCTTGCTTCCAAGAAGCATTCTGGCTGCATTCTTCCAGGACAGATTTGTTAGTTCTTTTGACAGTCCATTGTTCTTTCAGTATTCTTTGCCAACACCACAATGTAAAAGCATCAACTCTTCTTTGGTCATCTTTATTCATTGTCCAGCTCTCACATGCATATGAGGTGACTGAAAACACCATGACTTGGGTTAGGTGCACCTTAGTCTTCAAAGAGAAGTCTTTGCTCTTCATCACTTGGAAGAGGTCTTTTGCAGCAGATTTGCCCAGAGCAATATGTCATCTGATTTCTTCACTGCTGCTTCTATTGGTATTGATTGTGGAAACAAGTATATGAAATCTTTAACAACTTCAACGTTTTCTCCATTTATCATGATGCTGCTTATTGGTCCATTGGTGAGGATTTTTGTTTTCTTTATGTTGAGATGTAATCCATACTGCAGACTGTAGTCTTCAATCTTCATCAGTAAGTGCTTTAAGTCATCTTCACTTTCAGGAAGAAAAGTTATGTTGTCTGCATATTGCAGGTTGTTAATGGGTCTTCCTCCAATCCTGATGCCATGTTCTTCTTCATATAGTCCAGCTTCTCGGATTATTTGCTCAACATACAGATTGGATAAGTGTGGTAAAAGGATCCAACCCTGGCACACTCCCTTCTTGATTTTAAACCATGTAGTATCCCTGTGGTAGTTCAGTTGGTGTGTCAACTTGGCTGGGCCTGGTTGAGTGGCTGGGCAGCTGGATGTAGTATACCCCATGATGAGACTGGTAATCAACTTCATGGTGGAATCTACTGTGAGCAGCTGAGTTGCTGCCTTTGGGTATGTGGTCTGCTTCCCGTATATAAGAAACAGCTTTGGGAATGGTCTATAGCTTAGGACACACTTGAACGCTGCATGTAGCTGTGTTGTTGTTCAGCAGCCTGTCATGCTCTGCTGACCTTGGGACTTTCAATGGACTTGAATCAATGACCTGCCATGTTGTTTGGTAACATCGGGACTGTGTCATTTATTTGTTGACTTTGGGCTTGTTAGCCTCAACAACCAATAGCTGTCTTAGTGAAGGGATGCCTCTAGCTTCAGTGGTCCAGGAGCAAGAGGCAGAGCTGAAGCCCAAGGTCAAGGGGCTTTCACCCAGCCCCTAGAGCCTGGCACTTTGAACTTGGACTTAAAGCCTCTAAAATTGTAAGAATAGACTCTTGTTTGTTAAAGCTATCCCATTTGTGGTATATTCCTGTCAGAGCAGCACTAGGTAACCAGAGCAGAATATGGTACCAAGAGATTGGGGTGCTGCTCTGACAGATACCTAAAACATGGAAACAGGATTGGAGTGCATCCTTGACCCAAGACCCTGGCAGAGAGACCCCAGCATACATCATGAGAGACAGCAGAAGCAGAGCTGAGAGACTAGCATGAGAGACAGGAGTAGCAGAGTCCAGAGACCATCATTAAACAGCAACAGGCTTACCAGTCCATGGAGGAGAAAGCTGGATATCTTTGGGTAGGTGGATTTCTGGTGGAGTGGGTTGCCTTTGGGCATTAATTGGTACAAGAGACAGGCATGAAATGGAGTAGCAGGTTATCTGGTCCATGGAGCAAGAAAGCTGAGTGCTTTTAGGGCAGGAAGATTTACTTCAAAGTGGGTTGCCTTCAGCATTAATTGGCAGAAGCGGAGATATCAATGAAACAGGAAGCACAGCTCCCTCAGCTTTAAAGGGTAGGACCATGGCCTCTGGGGGTGGAACCACCACAGCCCCCTAGGTTTCAAAGAGCCAGACCTTCACCAACTTGGTTCTGGAGTGTGGGGTTGCTTGTTGATGTGAGCTAGTGGGCTGGAGTCATAGCTGCTGCCCAAGAGTGAGGAGGCAGGGCTGCCATGCCCAAGAGGGAGAGGAATGGGGCCCACCAGGCCAAGGAGATGAGGTCACCACTCAGGAACTAGGGGACTGGAGTCACCCAGTGAAGAGATCTGTGCAGATATCACCCATTGAAGATCTGTACAGGTGCCAAGTTGACAAGGGGTGGAATTGTGGTGGTTAAGTTTGTATGTCAGCTTGGCTGGGCCTGGTTGAGTGGCTGGGCAGCTGGATGTAGATTCCCCATGATGAGGCTGGTAATCAACTCCATGGTGGAATCTATTGTGAGCAGCTGAGTAGCTGCCTTTGGGTATGTGGTCTGCTTCCAGTATATAAGAAAGAGCTTTGGGAATGGTCTATAGCTTATGGCTTGCTTGAACTCTGCATATAGCTGTGTTGTTGTTCAGCAGCCTGCCATGCTATGCCAACCTTGGGACTTTCAATGGACTTGAGTTAATAGCCTGCTGTGTGGTTTGGTGACACCGAGACTGTGCCTTTTTACTTGTCAACCTTGGGCTTGTCAATCTTAGCAGCCAACAGCTGTCTGAGTGAAGAAAAGCCTCTAGCTCCAGTGGGCTAGGAGCAGGAGGCAGACCTGAAGCCTAAGGTTAAGGAGCTTTCACCCAGCCCCTAGAGCCTGGCATTTTGAATTCGGACTTAAAACCTCCAAACTGTAAGAGAATAAACTCCTGTTTGTTCAAGTCATCTTATTTGTGGTATATTCCAACATACAGATTGGATAAGTGTGGTGAAAGGATTCAACCCTGATGCACTCCCTTCTTGATTTTAAACCATGCAGTATCCCCTTGTTCTGTTTGAAGGACAGCTTCCTGGTCTATGTACAGGTTCCTCATGAGCACAATTAAGTCTTCTGGAATTCCATTCTTCTCAATGTTATCTATAATTTGTTTTGATCCACACAATAAAATGCTTTTGCACAGTCAATAAAACACAAATAAATGTCTTTCTGGTATTCTTTGCTTTCAGTTAAGATCTATCTGACATCAGCAATCATATCCCTCATTCCACATCGTCTTCTGAATCCAGCCTTGCATTTCTGGAAGTCCTCTGTCAGTATACTGCTACAACCATTTTTGAATTGCCTTAAGCAAGAATTTACTTGTGTGTGATATTAATGTTATGGTTTGATAATTTCCACATTCTGTGGGATCACCTTTCTTTGGAATGTGTACAAATATGGATCTCTTCCAGTAAGTTGGCCAGGTAGCTGTCTTCCAAATTTCTTGGCATAAACAATTGATGCCTCCAGCATGCCATCTGTTTGTTGAAACATCTCAATGGGTATTCCATCAATTCCTAGAGCCTTGATCTTCTCCAATTCCTTTAGTGCAGCTTTAACTTCTTCCTTCAATACCATTGGTTCTTGATCATATGCCACCTCCTGAAATGGGTGACCAATTCTTTTTGGTATATTGACTGTGTATTCCTTCCATCATCTTTTGATGTTTCCTGCATCATCCAATATTTTACCCTTAAAATCTTTCAATATTGCAACTCGAGGCTTGACTTTTCTCTTCAGTTCTTTCAGCTTGAGAAATGCCAAGCATGTTCTTCCCTTTTGGTTCTCTAACTCCAGATCTTTGCACATTTCATTATAATAATTGACTTTTCTTCTCAAGCTGGTCTTTGAAATCTTCTGTTGAACTCTTTTATCTTGTCATTTCTTCCATTTACTTTAGCTACTCTCTGTTTAAGAGCAAGTTTCAGAGTCTCTTCTGACATCCATTTTGGTCTTTTCTGTGTTTTTAATTACCTTTTGCTTTCTTCATAGATGATGTTCTTGATGTTATCCTACAACTCCTCTGGTTTTTGGTCATTGGTGTTCAAGGCATCAAATTTATTCTTAAGATCATCTCTACATTTGAGAGGGATATGATGAAGGTCATATTTTGGCTCTCATGGACTTGTTTTAATTGTTTTCAGCTTCAATGTGAACTTGTATATGAGCAGTTGACCATCTATTCCACAGTCCTCCCTTGGCCTTGTTTTAGCTGGAGTTAGTGAGCTTCTCCATTGCCTCTTTCCATAGATGTAGTTGATCTGATTCCTGTGTACTCCATCTGGTGAAGTCCACATGTGTAGCTGCTGCATATGTTTTTGAAAATAGGTATTTGCAGTGAATTAGTTGTCAGTCTTGCAAAATTATATCACATAATCCCTGGCATCATTTCTATCACCAAGGCCATATTTTTCAACTACCAGTAATTCTTCCTTTTTTCTAACTTTTTCATTCCAATCACCAGTGATAACCAACGCATCTTGATTGCATGTTTAGCTGATTTCAGACTGGAGAAGTTGGTAAAAACCTTCAATTTTCTCATTTTGTTTTGGTGGTTGGTGCATACATTTGAATAATAGTAGTATTAACTGGTCTTCCTTGTAGGTGTACAGATATTATCCTATCACTGACAACATTGTAATTTAGGATAGATGGTGAAGCATTCTTTGTGATGATGGATGCCATTCCTCTTCAATCTTTCATTCCCAACATAGTAGATTATATGGTTGTCTGATTCAAAATGGCCCAAACCAGTCCATTTCAGTTCACTAATGCCTAGAATGGGAGCTCTGGTAGCATAGTGGCTAAGACACTTGCCTGCTAACCAGACGGCTGGCGGTTCAAACCCACCAGCCACTCCTCGGAAGGAAGGTTGGGCAATCCTACTTCCGTAGTGATACTGCCTCGGAAACCCAAGGAGGGGTCACTATGAGTCGGGGCCGACTCGACGGCACACAACAACAACAACAACAATGCCTAGAATATTCATCGTTATGTGTTCCATTTAGTTTTTGACAACTTCCAATTTTCCTAGATTCATATTTTTTGTATTCTGTGTTCCAATTATTAATGGAAATTTGTAGCTGTTTCTTCTCATTTTGAGTCATGCCTCATCAGCACATGGAGGTCCCAAAAGCTTTACTCCATCCACATCATTAAGTCAGCTCTACACTGAGGTGGCTACTCTTCCCCAGTGTGCCTTCCTACCTGAGGGCCTCATCTGCTAGCACTATGTATGTAGTAGGCATTCAATAATTATTTGTTGATTGAATAAAGGAAAAATATTGTCAATGTTTATATTTCCAGGTAAAAAACACAAGTAGTTTTTATTACATTATGTTTGCATATATGCAAATAAAGCTTTGAAGAAAAATGAAATCAAACTGAATGATATCCTTAATTTTACCTACCAGAGGTTAAGAAATGAGCCAGAAGACCAATGGCTACTGCCACCACCATCAATGATAAAACAAGGGGAAGGACAATCATCCATGGCTTCAAATCTCTGCTTTGGTTGCCAAATCCAACTGCTCTGAAAATAAGGAAATCTACTAATTATTCTAATAAATAATGGTTATAGGCTGCTTGGTTCTCTAGGAGAAGCACAAGTCACTTTAGCCTACCTTTCTCAACAAGAATACATTTGTGTGCAATTTTGGTGAAGATCATCTTTGCCTAATGAAAGGTATTATAAAAGGTAAGGATCTAGGAATACACAATCTTGCTCCAACTTTCTGTTTCTACAGACCTTTGGTGGACCCTGTGGTGGCCAGGCCTGATTTCTCTTAGTGATCCAAAGTAGCACACATACTTGAAAGGAGATCTCTCCTCCATTCTCCCACACCTCGATATTTCTTTTATCTATCTTTTTAGAGTTTGCAAAGTGGTTTTAAAATATATTGTTTCATTTTAAAATATATTTTCTTGCTTTTTATCTTTTATTAATTCCTTATTACGAAAATTTTTAGACTCATGAAAAATTAAAAAGAATAGTATAATTGAACACCTATATATCCATCACATAGTTTTATCAGTTAACATTTTACCATATTTGCTTAACCCAATTTTTGCTGATGCATTTGCATGTGAAGTAAAACTACATGGCTTTTCACCAAATCATTATGAATAATTAAGATATAGTGGATATATTGAAAATATCCAGCATACATACAATATTATTAGCTCTCCTAAAAATATTAACATACATCTCTAAAAGAAAACCAAAACCAAACTCACTGCCATCAAGTCCATCTGGACTCCTAGCAACCCCTCCTTGGGTTTCTGAGGCTATATCTGTATGGAAATAGATCACCCAATCTTCCTTCCAAGAAGTGGCTGGTGGATTTGAACTGCCAGCCTTATGATTAGCAGTCAAATACCTGAGGCACTATGCCACCACAGCTCCTCTAATGCTTTCTAATACCTAGTCCACCTTCAAATTTTTTCAATTATCCCCATTTTGTACAAATCAAGATATAATGAAGGACAATGTAGTGCATTTGATTGTGTCTTTAAGTTAAGCTTTTCTCAAGATGAAAGAACTGAGAAAGAAATTTAAGCCTTGAGTTGCAATATTGAAAGATTCTATGGGCAAAATATTGAATGATGCCAGAAACATCGAAAGAAGATGGAAGAAATACACAGAGTCAATATACCAAAAAATATTGGTCGATGTTCATTCATTTCAGGAGGTGGCATATGATCAAGAACCAATGGTATTGAAGGAAGAAGTCAAAGCTGCACTGAAGGAATTGGTAAAGAACAAGGCTCCAGGAATTGACAGAATACACATTGAGATGTTTCAACAAAAGAAATGTCACGCTGGAGGCACTCAATTGTTTATGCCAAGAAATTTGGAGGACAGCTACCTGGCCAACTTACTGGAAGAGATCCATATTTGTACCCATTCCAAAGAAAGGTGATCCCACAGAATGTGGAAATTATTGAACAATATCATTAATATCTTATACAAGTAAAATCCTACTGAAGATAATTCAAAAATAATTGCAGCAGTATATTGACAGAATTTCCAGAAATGCAAGCTGGAATCAGAAGAGAATGTGGAATAAGGGATATGATTGCTGATATCAGATGGATCTTGGCTCAAAGCAAAGAATACAAGAAAGATGTTTATTTGTGTTTTATTGACTATACAAATGTGTTTGGCTGTGTGGATCATAACACATTATGGATAACTGCACTGAAGGGAATGGGAATTCCAGAACCCTTACTTGTACTCATGAGGAACCTGCACATAGATCTGGAGACAGTCATTCAAACAGAACACGGGGATACTGCGCAGTTCAAAATCAAGAAGGAAATATGTCAAGGTTGTATGTATCCTTTCATGATACTTATTCATCTTGTGTGCTGAGCAAATAATCCGACAAGCTGAATTATATGAAGAACATGGCATCAGGATTGGAGGTAGACTCATTAACAACCTGCGATAGGCAGATGACACAACCTTGCATGCTGAAAGTGAGGATGACTTGAAGCACTTACCGAGGAAGATTAAAGACTACAGTCTGCAGTATGGATTACACCTCCATATAAAGAAAATAGGAATTCTCACAACTGGTCCAATAAACAGCTTCACAGTGGATGGAGGAAAGATTGAATTTGTCAAGGATTTCATATTACTTGGTTCTATGATCAGCACCAATGGAAGCAGCAGTCAAGACATAAGCAACATATTGCATTGAGATCTGTTGCAAAAGACCTCTTTCAAGTGCTGAAGAGCAAAGATGTCTCCTTGAAGACTAAGGTGCACCTAACCCAAGCCATGGTGTTTTCAATCACCTATTATGCATGTGAGAGCTGGACAATAAATAAGGAAGACTGAAGAAGAGTTGATGCTTTTGAGTTGTGGTGTTGGAGAAGAATGCTAAAAGTACCATGGTCTGCTAAAAGTATAACAAATGGAAGAAGTGCAGCTGGAATTCTCCTTGGAAGTGAGAATGGCTAGACTTTGTCTCACCCACTTTGGTCATGTTGGAGAAGGATATCATGCTTGGTAAAGTGTAGGGTCAATAAAGAAGGGGAAGGCCCTCAATGATATGGATAGATGCAGTGGCTGCAACAATGGGCTCAGGTGGAGCAAAGATCGTGAGGCTGGCACAAGACTGGGCAGTGTTTTGTTCTGCTGTGCATGAGGTCACTATGAGTTGGAGACTACTCAATAGCACCTAACAACAACAACAACGATCTGAAAGAATCCTGCTTTTATTGTTATTATTATTATTAAAGACAATTATTTGTTGAGATCAAACAAGTTGTTCTTTAGAATGCCCCACCATCTGCATTTGTTTGAATGTGTCCCTGTGGTGTCATTTAAATTGTTCTTCTAGCCCTGTATTTCCTTTAAACTGGGATTTAGCTCTAAAGTCTTGACTAGAATTTGGTTAAATGTACTTGAAAAAATTGAGCTAATAAGGGCAAAGTTATAACTTCTTAGCCACAGCCAACCACCCTGAGGGAGCAAGTTATTGGGCCCGTGGACTCAGGACCATGGTCTCTGGGGCATAAGTATGTGTAGTATAACATACTACACAAAAACATTGCTCTGCATCCTATTTTTGTAAGTAGTGCCTGAAGCCTTAAAACCTTGTATGTGGACATCTAAGATGCAACAATTGGTCTCTCTTTGTCTGGAGCAAAGAAGAATGAAGAAAACCAAGGACCCATGGAAACAATTAGTCCAAGGTTAGGTGCTTTTGATTCAACTCTGACTCATAATGACCCTATGTACAACAGAACAAAACACTACCCATCATTCTCACAGTCCTTGCTATATTTGAGCCCTTCATTTCAGTTACTGTTATCAATCTGCCTTGTTGAGGGTCTTCTCCTTTTATGCTGAACCCTCTACTTTTCCAAGCATGATATCCTTCTCCAGGGACTGTTCCCTTCTAACAATATGACCAAAGTACATGAGACAAAGTCTGGCCATTCCTGCTTCCAGCGAAGATTCTGGCTGCATTCTTCTAGGACAAATTTGTTTGCTCTTTTGGCACTTAATGATATTTTCAGTATTCTTTGCCAACACCATAATTCAAAAGCATTAACTCTTCTTCAGTCTTCCTTATTATTGTCCAGCTTTCACATGGATATGAGGCTATTGAAAATACCATGGCTTTGGTTAGGCACACCTTCATCTTCACAGTGACATCTTTGGTTCTTAACACATTAAAGAAATCTTCTGAAGCAGATTTGTTAAGTGCAATATGACCTTTGATTCTTGACTCCTGCTTCCATGGGTGTTTATTGTGGATCCAAGTAAAATGAAATCTCTGAAAACTCCAATCTTTTCTCCATTTATCATGATGTTGCTTATTGGCCCGTTGTAAGGATTTTCAGTTTTATTATGTTGAAGCATAATCCATACTGAAGGCTGTAGTCTTTGGTCTTTATGAGTAAGTGCTTCATGTCATCATCACTTTCAGCAAGCAAGGTTGTGTCATCCATGTACTGCAGGTTGTTAATGAGTCTTCCTCCAATCCTGATGCTGGATTCTTCTTGATGTAGTCCAAGTTCTTGGATTATTTGCTCAGCACACAATTGAATAAATGTGGTGAAAGGATATAATCTAGATGCACACTCTTCCTGATTTTAAACAAGACGGTATCTCCTTGTTCTGTTTGGATGACAGCCTCTTGGTCTATATACAAGCTCCTCATGAGCACAATTAAGTGTTCTGGGATTCCCATTTTTCACAATGCTATCCATAATTTGTTGTGACCCAACACATCCAAAAGCCTTTTCATAGTCAATAAAACACAAGTAAATATCTTTCTGGTATTTTTTGCTTTCAGCCAAGATACATCTGACATCAGTAATGATATCCTTCATTCCATGTCTTCTTCTGAATCCAGTTTGAATTTCTGGAAATTTGTCAATATAATACTGCAACCATTTTTGAATTATCTTCAGCAAAATTTTACTTGTGTGTTATATAATGACTGTTAGATAATTTCCACATTCTGTTGTATCCCCTTTCTTTGGAATACACACAAATATCAATCTCTTCCAGTCAGTTGACAGTGTATCTTTCTTCCAAATTTCCTGGCAGAAACAAATAAGTGCCTCCAGGGTTGCATGCACCAACGTTTGTTGGTACATCTCATGAGTATTCCATCCATTTCTGGAGGCTTGTTTTTTGGCCAATTCCTTCATTGCAGCTTTGACTTCTTCCTTCAATGCCATTGTTTCTTGATCATATGCTACCTCCTGAAATAGCTGAACATCGACCAATTCTTTTTGTTATAGTGACTGTGTATTTTTTCCATCTTGTTTTGATGATTCCGGAATCATTCAATATTTTCCAACACAGTCCTTCAATATTGAAACTCAAAGCATGAGTGTTTTCTTTAATTCTTTCAGTTTGAGAAATGCTGAGAGTATTCTTCCCTTTTGCTTTTCTAACTCCAGGTCTTTGAATATTTCATTGTAATATTTTACTTTGTGTTCTTGAGCTGCTCTTTGAAATCTTCTGTTTTCCATTCAAGAACAAGTTTCAGAGTTTCTTCTGACATCCATTTTCATCTTTTCTTCCTTTCCTGTCTTTTGAAAAAGTGTTTGTCTTTTTCATGTATGATATTCTTTATGTCATCCCACAACTCATCTGGTTTTTCATCACTGTTGTTCAGCGCATCAAATCTATTCTTCAGATGGCCTCTGAATTCAAGTGGGATATAATCAAGGTTGCACTTTGGCTCTCAGGTACTTGTTTTGATTTTCTTCAGCTTCAAGTTGAAATTGCATATGAGCAATTGATGGTTTATTCCACAGTCAGCTCCTGGCCTTGTTTTGGCTGAAGATATTGAGCTTTTCCA